CCCCAAAAAAAAAAACAGGATGCACCTTGAACAGTCCTTGAAGGCGGGGGTCGCTGTGACCCCGACTGCGCAGACTGCAAAGATATCGTCCTCACCAGGGCAAGGTGCCAGATTTACTTCCATTTGCTCGTTGACTTCGCAGGTTTCTGAATTTCAGCTCAGGTCTATACCACCCAACACAAGACAAATGATACTTCGAAGAAAAACACTCTATGCTTTTCAGGCTGCCTCTCACCCCAGCAACCAACGGATTCTCCTGAATTTAAAAAAAAAAAGTCATCACAAGTCAGGCATGAACTAATTCCTCCCGTAAATCTCACTTTGTCCTTCCAAAGCCCAGCAGTGCGGCCCCTGTGTACCCACGCACCCATTTCCATCACAAAATGAAAGAGGCGAGTGGCAGGAGCCCCACTCATCTTTGAACTACCTTGCACAACTTCCCGGTCTATGGTACAAGGATCTCTTGCTCACTTATGCATTCAGTTGCCAAAGAACTGCCGAGAACCTACTCTACGCCTGCCCACAAGGGACTTAAAGTCTAGTGGGAAAGATAAATGAGACAAGACAAAGTTCCAATACAGTATAACCTAGCATGCCTTCACAACACAGATTCCAAGAGAACAGGGATTTCGTTTACTCTGCACTGCAACAGCCACTGAACCAGCGCAGAGCCTGGCACACAGCAGGCATCCAATGAGCATTTACCGAATGAATGAAAGAACGAATGAGCACCATGTGCATACAGTCCAGTAACAGAGCATTCACCTCAAGATACTTGTAGCATGTCCCAGTGCTGAGCACAGTATTAGGCACTTTTCGGGAGTAGTTGCGTGTCCTCATTGTCACGATTACCACGTGACCACAGCGACTGCAGTGCAGCCTTTATTATGCCCATTTTGCAGATGAGGAAACTAGTGTGCAGAGCTCAGCTCAAGATCCCATAGTCGGTAACCAACAAACCAGATCAGTCCCATTTGAAAGCTGTTGCTACCTAGAACCATTAGGCACACAATGGTGCACTTCCTTTTTCTTATTCTGTTCTTTTTTATTTGATTTGATTTTTTAATTTTTTATTTTGTAATGGAGAGACTGAGGATTAAACCCAGGACCCTGTGCATGTTAAGCACACGCTCTACCACTGAGCTACACTCACCCTCCCCCACTTCTGTGGTCCTTTTCAGGGGCCAGGGATGCTTCCCAAAGGATGGGCTACAGTGAAAGGGCAGAGAGGAGAGAGTCCGAAGAAGATGGAATGCGTGCAAAGATGGGAGAAGCAGACGAAGGAGGGGAGGAGACTTTTCCCAGTTAAGTGCAGTGGGTTTAAAACTCTTCTCCCAGTCGCCGACACCCTCTCTGTGCTGAGGTGAGCACTTCAAGAGAAAATACTGCTAACTCCACAGATTACGTGTAAGCTCGACAATTCCTGCATCGTTAAATGGACTAGATCTGACCCCTGGCAGGTTCACGTTCAGAAGAACTCCAGCACCTGCACGTTTCGGAAGGCGAGCTAGGTGAGGGTCCGTGAGGATGGGCAACCCTCCAGCCCATCTCAGTCTTCCTTCAGACAGGAAAGTCATCCCTTCAAAGGCATGCAAGGACAAGAAGCCAGTGGCCTGCCAAAGCAACTAATTCCACCCCTGAATTCCCAGAGTCCCATCCTATTGTTTCTAGATTTAAGAAGTCATGAAGCAACGCTGAGCTCATGCCTCGCTACATCCTGCACAAGAGAAAGTAAACGCTGCCCCTTTCATTTACCAGCATGGACCCCACAGTAAACTGTTTTAACCTTGTCGATAAACGTGAAACATGAGCATCAACTGCCTACAAGGCGCTGCGCTACACACACTGAGCACGCAACACCGATCCTGACAGTCTGTGGTATTGTATCTGTAAGATGTCAAACATGAATACTACGAGCACTTCAAAGAGTGATGAGCGCTGGGAACAAAGTGAACAGGATGATGGACCAGACAGCGAAGCGGGGAGGGAGGCCTCTCGAAGGTCTTTGAGCTCAGGCCCAGATGAGGGATGATGAGGAAGAGGGCATACAGGAAGGGCAGACCCTCAGCCAGGCAGGGAAGGTGGGAAACAGCTTAAACAAGGCCCCCAGGTAGGAGAGAGCTTGGTGTGTTTGGGGCAAGGAAGGCCAACGTGGCTTGAGCAGCGTGGGGAGGGGTGGGTGGGTGGAACAGAATGAGTAAGGAAAGACAAAGGCAGGGTCAAGTCAGGCACGGTCTTCCGGGGCCATTGGACAGATTTGGGACATTAAGTGCAGTGAGATGCCACTGGAGACTTCTGAGCAGCAAAGTAACATGAACTGATTTTTGCTCTAAAAGGTTCACTCCAAATGTCATCAAAATGGATACATATCAGTGACACACAATAGCAAACTGGCCCTCACTCTGCCTGGTGTATGACACAGCCGATGCATCTGGCAGGCAGGATCCAGCCACACACCAGCGTCTCAACAGAACAGGCGGAAAGCACCTCTTGATGACCAGCTGCTCGGACTTCCCAGAATGTGCTTTCAAATGAGTAAGACCACCTACTATCTATTCTGAAACCCAACTTGCCTTCCCCATTTGTCATCCCATCCACGGATGAGGCTGAAAATAAGGTTTTACACCCAAGGCTCTTACCACTTCAAAACAAGTCCTGGAAATAGACAGAGTGGTGCTCCTGGGACGCCAGGGAGGAAACACTGACACCTTGCTAACATTTCAGTTTGGGCACTGAAGCAGAACCCCAAGACCAACTGAGAAGAGCGATCCAAGTCTACTGTCAGGGGCCTCCCGGTCCCTTGGTCAGTCTGCTGTGATGGCTGATGTCAGCCTACAGGGCGAAGCAGAAGTCAAGATACTGGGGGATGGGGTACAGCTCAGTGGTAGAGCGCATGCTTAGCAAGTACGAGGTCCTGGATTCAATCCCGAGTACGCCCATTTAAACAAACAAAAAAGTCAAGACATTAAAGACAGGTCAACTTGACTGTCATCTGCTCAATAACCAATACAGGAAAACACCGTCTCCGTACAGCATATCAAAAGGCAGCCCACGTGAAGCTATATCTGTGGCGACTCCATGCCAGAAATCTGGGCTAATCTGACTCTGCTATTCGTAAGTTCTCCCTCATGTGAAAGCACATGTGTTCGGGAAAGGAAAATGCTTCCAAGTCAATTTTAGACACTGCTACTTGGAAACCATCTGGAGTCCCTGGGAGCACAAGAAGCCACTGCGTCCTCTGCCCCCAGATGCCCAGGCAATTAGGGCAGTGTGCTTGCAGGGGAGTTTCGTGTCCCCAGGGAGGCCCCACCCCCGCCCTACCAGATGCCAGTTCAGGCTCCATTTCCCACCCAAGAAAGGTATTTGGTTTCTAGGTAAACCTAGTGGAGGGCCCTCCATGTCTGGAGCTCACATTTGAACTGCATCCAAGGCTGGGTTCTCTGCTCTCCGCCTGCCTGAGAGCTGCACACCTGAATTCCTTGGCCACCGCAGCCACGGAAATCCCTCCCCAGGGACAGAAGTTCCATGCACAATCCCCTCTACCCACCCGGCCTGCGTTCAGAGCGCCTCGAGCTCTGGAAGAGACCCACAGGAACCCTTATGTAACACTGATAGATGTTGGCACCCCGCAGAGCCGCTCCTGGAGACACCAGCCCAGATGTAGCCCATTTTCCCTGTGATGACAGCGGGCTGAGTCTTGCAGCTTCCAAGGGCCTGGCTCCTCCTGACTGTGGGCCCTCGTCCCCCTCCCCTACCTGGCTGTGATCTTTTGCTTATCTCATCTTCCAGGGGGAATTGGGCCTCCCTTTCTGCGGCCTCCCGCCCTCCCTCCACTGAAATCAGTCTCAGGACCAAGCCGACAGCAGCGCCATTCCACCAGCACCTTCCCTGCCCCCGCTCCCCCCACCCCGACAGAGCCGCTCTCCACCACCTAACGCCTCAACGAACCCGGCCAGGCAAGAGACCCAGAATCTCGTACAGTCATAGCCCCAGAAAACAAACACGGCAGGAGGGGCAGCCTCAGCTCTGCCAAGCCGACCAGGCCCAGTACTTCCCCCGGACCCCCGAGGAGCCCTGAACTCGGCGCAGGGGAGGGCATCTTCGGAGAGCGACTGCGGCTCGGCTGCCTCGAGCACAACCAGCGCGAACACCTGTTTCCAGGAAGCTACGGGGCCAGAGGGAGAGGGGAGTCCCGGGGAAAGGCAGGGAGGACGAGGTGAAGGGGCAGCTGGGGACGCAGGTAAAGGATGCGTCACACTTCGCGCTTGGCAACCGGAGCCCCGGAGCGGCCGGCGGGGCGTCAGAAGGGCTCCGGGGTCCGGGAAGTTCAGCGAGGAGGGGTCGCGCCCGCGAGCGGCGCCCCGAGGGGGTCCGCGCAGGGGAGGGCCGGCGGGGAGCGAAGGGAGGGGAGGACGGGAGGCCGGCGCGCTCGCTCCATCACCTGCGCGCCCCGGCGGCTGCAGCCCAAGGCGCGCACCGGCCCGCGGCGGCCCGCGGGTGACCTACCTGCCCACCGTCTGGTTGGCCAGCTGGCGCATGCGGTTGAACTGCTTCTTCATCGTGGCCCCGCTGCCGCGCTAGCCCGGGGGCTGGGGAAGGACGGAGCAGCGCGGAGCCCGCCGCAGGGTTACATGGCTCCCGCGCGGAGCCTCCCGGGCGACGGCGGCGGCACTGCGGAGCCTCCGGGAGCCGTCTGGCCCGCGCGCGGCTCCCTCCCGGGGGCTCCACCGCCTACTCCTTCTCCCGCCGCGGCGCCGGCTGCCGCATCCTCCTCACGCGCGCCGCGGCGCCTTCATCGTTACGCCCGGGCCGCCCTGGGCGCCGGCCGGGTCCGCCCCGGCTGCCTGCCCCCAGCCCCGCTCCGGCGCGGGACGCGGGTCTCCGCAGGCTGGCTGGCCGGCTGGCCGGGGGTCCCCGCTGCGCCTGTGCGGAGGGCGCCGTGCATTCTGGGACTTGTAGTTTCGGCCCAGCGCCCACCTTTCCTCTGTCCAAAGTTTGCAAGTGCGGCGGGAGCCGAGGGGGAGAAGGCGGAGTCGCCTCCGGCTTTGCACTTTAGCATTCTAGCAAAGGAAAGGGTTTCCTGCTTTAAAAATAACAAGGTGGAACCAAGAATAAAACAGCAAATAAAGAAGGTGCGCATCTGACTTCCATTGTATTGTTTTTAAATGAGACACAGATGATGTACATTAACATGTTAGCTCCAGGTGTACTACATAATGATCTGATATTTGCATACATTACAAAATGATCACCACCCTAAGTCTACTAACCACAGGTCCCCATACAAAGTTATTGCAATACTACTGCCCATATTCCTTTTGCAGTATATCACATGCCCTTGACTTATGATATAACTGGGGTTTGTACCTCTCAATCTCCACCTATTCCGCCCACTGCCCGCCACCCTCCTCCTTTCTGGCAACCACCTGTTTGTATTTTAAGCGAATGTGCGGCATCGCTGCCTTGAATCCACAGGAGGAAGATGCGTGCCAGTAGGAACATGATTCACAAAGTTGCATAAGGCCCCCTGATTAACGTGGAGGGGTGGGGTTAAGCTTGGGGCACGGGGTTAAGAGGCATATTTTGACCCATGCATAGCGTGCATTCCAGACACCTGATCCTCAATCATCCCCAAACCTAGTGGATAACCAGAAGGCAATATAATGATATTGGCACCGGGATCACGGGCCCAGTTTGCCTAGGACAACTTTCTTGCGTGGTTAGATTCCAGCCTCACAGCTGTTCTCACTCCTCTTCCACCCAGGAGACTAAGGGGCATCAGCTGTGGCAGGTCAGCAGCGTGTAACCCAGCTGCAGCCCTGTGGCATTAGCTGGCTCGTGAAAAAGGGTTGTGAAAAGGGGTTGAAAAGGTGACTGAAGTTAGGTTTCATCATCATCTACCAAGTAAGAGCCGCGTTGTTGGGTGTTCGGGTCTTTCCATCAAACTGATAGGAGTTTAGATTAGAATTCCAAATACCAATTACATAGCCTTAGGGAAAAAGCACATAGTCTTTCTAAGCCGTCAGCTTTCTCATCTCTAATAGAGAATTAATACTGCCTGATAGACAGCAAAGTTAGGGAACTATTTGTTAAATTACCAACAGTCCGACAACAAACTTCTCTGTAGTAGCT